AGATTTCTTACAAATGGAGTGTGAAAGATTCACTTGGTTACTCAAATGTGAGCTCTTTTGTTTTTGTGTAAATTCTCTTCCTTTTTCTTTCTAGTTGCTCGAGAGAATATCTTTGGAGAAGATCTGGTACACTTCCGACACTTGAAGAGTGTGAAAGGAAAACGGTAATTTGCCGACACTTGGATGGAGTGAAAGGACGACGGTACTCTGCCGCACCGGGGATTGGTGAAAGAGAGGAAATTGTAAAGGCTTCTCCGCCTTGTTGTGGGGGAAAAAACTGATTCACTTTGGTGATAGTGCAATACTAGAAGAGGATGTCTTCAGGGAGTGGATGTAGGTCTTATTGGACCGAACCACTATAAATATATATTCTTTTTTATATTCTGCAATCTATTGTTGTGGTTGAAAAGTATATAAAAAAAATAAATTGTTTTAAATTATTAAATGATTTTCTATTAAAATTTCAAGAGATTTTTAAATTAATCAATTCACCCCCCTCCCTTCTTGGTTATCCTTGGGACAATTGCATAGGTTTAACAACCTATACGGATTTTTCAAAATAGTCATCGAAGAGGGTGTTAAAACATAACAATGAAAAGGAATATAAAAGTATATCATTCCTGGTTGTTCATATCGTATCAAAGAAGCTCAAAAGTTCAGCAATGAATATTCAAAATTGATGGAGCATGCCTTGTCAGGAAAAAGACCAATCTTTCTATTGATGTTAATGAAATCATTAGGCACAAATTACAATTGTGGGTACCCAGCGATCTGGATTTGAGAAAGAAAATTTTGCAATAAGCTCATCATTTTGGTTAGACAATTCATCAGACAACACCAAAATGTATAAAGACTTAAAATTAATATTTTGGTGGCCAGGTATAAAGAAAGATGTTGAATATGCATTCAAATGTGAAGCAAGTCAAATTATAAAAAATAAACATCAACAACCTAGTGGATTACAACAATCATTATTTATCCCTGAGTGGGAGTGGGAAGAGATCGCAATGGATTTTATTATGGGATTTTCCAGATCCAGACAGGGACATGACAGCATTTGGATGATTACTGATAGACTAACAAAATCAGTTCACTTTTTACTCATCAAACAAACTAATTCAATATATATTAGCACGCCTGTATATGAAAGATATTGTCATATTGCATTGCATTTCAAAAGTTATTATCTCAGATAAAGATGTTAGATTCACTTTGAGACTGTGGAAAAGCATTCATGAAAACTTGGGCACTAATTTGTGCTTCAATACAGCTTTCCATTCTCAAACTGATGGTCAATCAGAAAGAATCATTCAGATACTGGAAGACTTGCTGAGATTATAAGACTTATTTAGATTATGTGTTTTAAATTTTAGAGGTAGCTGAAAAGCTCACATATCATTGATAGAATTTGCCTACAATAATAGCTATGAAGCACTTTATGGTAGAAAATGCAGAACTCCCTTAACTTGGATAAAAGTATGAGAAAGACAGCTAATGGGTCCAAAGCTAGTTGATGAAGCAACATATAAAATCAGATTAATCAAAGACAAATTAAAAGATGCTCAGTATCGCTAGCAAAAGTATTATGGCCCTAAGCACATAACAGTAGAGTTTGAAATTGGGAACTTTGTCTTTTTAAAGGTTAAGCCTATGAAAGGTACAACTAGATTTGGGCAAGGAGGCAAATTAAATCCTAGGTACATAGGACCTTTTGAAATTATTGAAAGGATTGGGGGGTTGCTTATAGGATTGCTCTTCCAGTTTACATGTCAAATATTCACAATGTTTTTCATGTATCACCATTAAGAAAATGGGTTTCATATATCCATCAGAAAATTGCACATGATGATATTGATCTACAGAAGAATCTAACTTACACTGAAGAACTAGAAACAATACTAGATTTTGATGTTAAACAACTCAGGAACCGTCAGATCCCTTATATTAAAGTAAAATGGAGATACATGCCATAAAAGGAGGCATCCTGGGAGAAGAAAGAGTCGCTACAGAAGCTTTGTCGCCTCCTCCACTGACGTCGGATCGAAAGACACGACGGGAGATTGCTCGCTGCGAAGGTAACCATTTTTCTCCTCGACAAGGACGTCGCGCAAGCGTAAATCCCGTAGCTGGTAAATCCCTCAAATTCGTCGAAGAATGGGGTTTGGATTTACTCAGATTTACACGGATCTATGCCATAAATCCGGGATTTACGTCATCGCGGGATTTACAAGCGCGCAGAACACTATTTGACTAGAATTAGGTTAAATCAAGCTTAAATTTCATGCCAAATCCGATACCAAACAGCCCCTAAATATTCATTTAGTTTCATTTAAGTCTACTTTTAATTCCAAGCATTTTTTATGTATAGAAGCATATGTAAATTATTATGGTACAATCTAATCGTATATTTGTATAACTATTATATGACTAACTGTTTAATATTCAATAACGGTTATTTGAAATTAAAATATTGAAATAAGTTAATTAACTCTTAAAATTATGATTATTATTAGTCATTTCTTTATATTTTTACTATAGCTTACCAATTAGCAAGGCATGCAATTGCTAATTTGAATCATGCTGCTAGGATAGGATAAAGAGTAGTTAGTGGAACTTAGTGGAATACTAAGTATAATATTATATTAGGAAGTTGCCTTAATCCTTAATTAACTGTCAGTTCCTTCATTTTTTTTCCATTCGTATTGTTGTTGTTGTCGAGAGCTGAAGCTAGCCGTGAGAAGCTGGGAGGGAGATTGCTGGATTTGCTACTTTAGGCTGATGTAGAAGAAAAAATCAGCAAATCAAGGTAATAAGAAGTTAGGTAGATGTTGTAATTAATGGCTAAACTTGTTATTTAGTTGAAATGAGATGTGGTTTACTTTTTTTATGTGGTTTGTTTAAATTGGATAATATTATTGCTTTAGGGTTGTTGAAATCAATTGTCTAGGGTTGAATTTAGCTAAGGTGAGAGCTAATATGTCGAAATCTGTTGAAAAGTCCAACACAAGATTGTTGTAGGCAGTTGTACAGGGCTGAAAATAGATGTATTGTTGAATTCAGTTCAGTAATTTGAGAGCGAGAAAGAGATCTGTTGAACTAAGCGTTAGCTGAAAGTAGTTTGTTGTTTGATGAATTCAAGAAAGAAAAGAGGGAAGGGACTACTGTAGTTGTTGTTTGTTGTCACAGTGTCGTTAATTCCAGCTAGGGAAATAAGAGTAAGGAAAGGATTTTGGTGGATGTTGCTGGAACCAGTAAAAAGTAGAAAAAAAAAAAAACAAAGGCTGTTGGTTGAATTCTAAAATGGCTAATCACTAAATTCATGCGAGAAATATTGGGTTGAATGAGAAGTTTAGTGGAAATAGTACAAAAGGAAAAGAGGCCATGATTCCTCAAGTGAACCAAATTACCCAATTGTTCTGGAAAACGAGGTGAGATACTCAAATGATGTTATAGGAAATAATAAAAAATTTATATAATTGCAAATTCATATTTGTTATATTTACTATAGTATTTATTTCAGTTTACTCCAGTCTATTCATGTATGAACATATATGATTCGTGGAGTATTAACTACAATAGCATATGTCTGTTGGTTAAAAAGGAATGAATTGGGAAGATTAAATAAGTTATATATGGGGGATAGGCCCACACAAATAAAGGTGAAAGACCTAATGAGGTAAGCATATACTCTCGAAATTCTAAAAGTTAGGGATTAGGACCCAGCCTTAAATGAGCGAGTAGTTTCAATTCTAAAAGTTGAAAATTTGGACCCTATCTTGGATTGAAAAGTTGGATGTGTGCAAAAGTCTATAGTCATAATATGAATTGTATAAACATGTTGAACAATAAACATAACGAAAAATGATGTTATGTCTTTCTTCTGTTTAGTATAGAATTTTGTGTTTTACATTAATAGCCAATATGTTCAGTATTATTTTGTCTGCATTGCTTGAGTATTTCACTTAGCCCTGCACATTTAACAATGGTTGTACTACAAGCAAGGGGAATGAGTCAATGAGATAGTAGTCAGAACAGACTTGAAAGCATTGAACATCAAACGATCTTGGATGGAGGCACCAACCTTTTTATATGTTCTAAATTCTAGAATCCAGTCAAACCAGGCAGAATAATGGGGATTTTTACATTGCGGTCAGTCAGACTAAATCAAACTATAGCAAACTATAGCAGTGGCTAAAAGAGATTCTTCAATTCATTTAATTTAAGTGTAATCTGATCTATATTATTTTATTTCTATTACTCATTGAGAACATTATTATCATTTATCATACCAATTTAGCTTTATAAATAAATTTTTTAATCATTAGAATAGAATGAATGACAAAACCAGGAATTATGGCCATTTTTGAAAAGATGCAAAGGCTTGAGATTTTATCTTCCTTCTTGTGATCTTAAAACCCGGAGTAGTATGGTGCGATCAGCATCTTAACCCTAGAGTCATTCCAAGAAATTTGACCCCATGCTGCACCAAATCTTCTTTGCAACAAATTGCGTTTTACCATGGAATTTTAAATCACTATAACCACCTGCCTAAAAGGACAGTCCGCCTTTTACATTGGGATCCTTATGTGCAAACTGTAACAGGTTGATGTTCTAAAAGGGCATTTTTGACATTCAGCAGGAGCAATTAATTTCTAAGCTTAATAACCAGCAAAACAATTCTAAGGCCTCCAAATGAACGTGAAGCAACCATCAATATTTCAAAAGAGATCAACATCAATGCAAGGTTGAAACAGCCAAATTGTTTATTAGAACTTCAGTCAAAGGGTAAGCAGCGAAAACTTGTTAAATGAGCAAACAAGTGACAAGTCAAGACCAATCATAATTCCACAATTAAAAGAAGATAAGAAAAATAAAAATAGCAATTGTTTAAAAATAAGCAAAACCACGCGCTTATAAGAAAACAAAAGAACAGATTTCTGCTAAAAAAATGCAACTTTAATAAAAATATAAATATATGTGATAACGAATCGCGTGCTTACCTGGCGCACATAATGATGAGGCCACCTCTGCCTAGCTTCCTCATCGGGCACAGGTTCACCAACGAAGAATGTGGATCCATTAACATCCTCCAGCTGCTTTACACTCAAAGAAGAATATTTCTTCGACTTGGAGCCTGAACGTAAATTTAAACTCTTAGAAGACGGCAGATCAGCCGATGTACTTGACCTCTTCTTCTCAGAGGACGGTTCTGGCAACGTCGCCGTCGTTCTGGGCGAGCGCCTCGGGCCGCCGTTCTCAATCAGCTGATTTATCATCTTATTCTGCCCAGATCTAAGCATCCATTTGCAGATCCCATCCTGCACAGCTGAATTCGTGTTTTCCTTGCTCCGGGAAGTAGCCGAGACGGTCAACGACGAAAGCCGGGTTTTGATCTTTCCAGCATTCTCCACGGAAGAACCAGGGCCGTCACCGTCGCAGCTCGAGATGGGACTACGATGGCCGTCGGGGCCTTTGAGATCCGGTGCCGTGAGAGGGATTTCAGCCGCCATGGGAAAAAAAAGCTGCTGAGCACCCAATTGCCAGAAATGGGTGACTAGCTGTGAAATTTGCGGGGGAAATTAGGGTACGCTAAGGCTCGAAAGCAAATAGCAATGGCGGGAGTTTCCGGAATTATTGGAAGAGATTGAAAAATAAAAAACCGGCAAAATAATTTGCAATATAAAGTTAACTACTATTACATTTCACTTAAGCAAATGAGTTTGAATGAGTTCTAAGCCGTACATGAGTTTGTAATTAAATATATTTAAAGTACAAAATAAGGTGAGAATGTAAGTATAAATTTTAGTACATCTCAAAATGCATGATATCATCAGAGTACTTAGATTCATTTGGTTGGAAATTTTCAAAATAATTGGGCATGATTGGTTACAAGTTTAGGAATGTGTTATTTGAAATTGGTGAACTTTGAAATTTTAGGTGTTTAGGACAAATGGGATGTTTGATTTGATGTTTTTAAAATACTTGCATTTTAGAAATTCAAGATAAATGAAATGCATGTATTTTAGAAATACAAGACTTAAATGCAAATAAAATTACAAGTTATAAAGCTACTAAAATATCTCAAAAATGAAGATCAACTTATCCACAGAATTTCTTTCATTTCATCAAAATAAATAACTACACTACAATACATGATTACAAGCAAGAGCTACAGAGCTGAAAATTAAACTAATCATGACTGTACAAAAATTAAAATAGCAAAATTCCTATAATCTCAAATCTAATCCTAAAATGCTAATCGATTGTCTCTTTTCCTTTCTCAAATCCTAAAAACTACAAGCAAACCATAGTGAGCTACCACAATTCAGTAAGCCACACAAGTCAATCTAAATTTTCAAATTATTTTATTTTATTAAGCATTTTATTGAACATTTAAATGCACTTAAATGCAATCAAATAAATCACAAACACTAAGAAAGTTAATAAAAGCATAGTATTTTATCCAATTTATTAAAATAATAATATTGGACAGATAAATCGTAGAATAATTTACATCACATTTTCTAGACTCAAATAAAATCTCAAAAGATTCTAGCCACTTATGACTTCTTTTTGTGCTTGTGGCAACAGAATTTGCTAGTATGAACCAGAATATGACTTATAGTCATCAGAATGTACCTTATTTGCACCAAAATATTTCCTGATACAGACAAAATCTTAATAGATTATGACCTCTTATGGCTCCTAACATATATAATTTAATCACATATGCATATATATCATCACATTATAGTAATTGAGCATGTGTCAAAATTGCACAATTTTCTATAATAATAGATAATAAAAAATCCTACAATGCAAAAATGCACATTTTAAAAAAATAACCAAATTATCATGGATTATGTAAAAGAATATTTTAATACTTTCATCGTATTACAACACTATTTTTTAGAACCCATATAATTTTTTATTAAATAAAAACTCCACAAATTTCAAAACTCATATTATAAAATTTTCAGAAAATATTTAAAATATGTATAATCATAATTTCTATAACATAAAAAAATTTACACACTGAAACTTTTATCGGTACAAAGTTATCCTCATTTTTTGCTACAAACAAAATAGAAATTTGATTGAAAAATTAGATAAAATTTTCCTATTTTTTAAATTTTATATAGGCGTAATGTGACCTACCACTATCCGAACAACATTTTGAAATGAACCAATGACTTAAAACGATCCAAAACGGCTAAAAAATCCTCTTTTTACTCTACAAATCCTCTTCTTCCGACTTTTTTTAATCGGGTCAGAACATGTCAATCCATATGTTGAACCTGCAAGTGTCCCATTTAAAATACTTTAATCAGCTCATTTTTTATGAATTTGGAACCTTTAGCTTTTCATGACCTCTGTCATCCTAAAATCTTCTTGAATCTAACCCTCAACATGATTAACCCGTTGTATTCTCTACATGATGCCATTGATTCATCACTTTTGTAATATCCTTAGGTTCTCCTCAAAACCTTTAGGGCTAGCTCTCATCGCATGCCTCAAATTCAATTCAACTTGTTCCTAAAATTGAAGCCATCCTTTAAGCCTTCGGCTTTATATCCATCATCTAAGAAATCATTTTGGGTAGCTTTCATTTTGCTTTGTAAATTTATTGTAGATAAAGTAACTTTTTAAAGTTGTTGCAGAAAGTTGCTTCCTAGCATAAAAATTTATTGAAAGTAGTGAAAAAATAATGGTCAAACAAAAATTGTGATTGTGATATGAAAAGCAAAGCAATTAGAAAGTTGTCTCAAATGATTCCTTCCTCTCTCCACGTGGTGTCACCCCCTTGACCTTTAGTTCTCCCCATTTGATCCCTCATGGCAAAAATCTTAAATTCACTTTGCTTCCAATATAGGCTTCATTTGGGACAAATTTTTTACTGCTTTTTAAAACACCTTTCTAGTACAAATTTTTTAAGTTCAAGAATTTTTTGTACTTAAAAGCTACTTTAGAAAACAGTATAAAGTTGTCCCAAATAAAACTTTAATAAAAAAAAATGATATCTTGAATTTATTTAACAACCAATAAAATAACTTTGAGTATTTCAAATACATTGTATTGTATTTAAATTTCACATTGTATTGCATTCAAATACATTGCATTTCTCAAACATTGTATTGTATTCAAATTTTACATGCTTTCTAAATACTCGTAACCAATTAACCCCATAATTATTCAAATGCATGTGCTTTTTTTAAAAAAGCAGAATAATTGAAATGCATATATTTTAGAATTATTGCATATGTTCAATTTGATGTGAAGAAATTGCATTGACTTTTTTAAATGATACATTTCAAATGTTAGATTTAAATGAAAATCTGGCTCTCAATACAACACAATAAAGAAAAATAATTATTGTAGCTACCCCCACATAGTGGGATAAAGGCTTGATGTTGTTGTTGAAACATTTCAAATGTATTGAACTACAAATAAGGGCGAGGTAGCGAAGGAAGTGTATGAAAATGCTATAAGGGCACTTGAAGGTGCAAAAGGCACACCGAGAGAAGGGGAGCGCCCCGAGGGGGGGGGTGTTGTTTTGAATAGGTTCTTTTTTTAATTCTTTTGCCTAAAAACAAAACTTAAAAAATGTGAAAATGTTTAAGAGATTATAAGGTTCAAACCAAAATCAAAGCAAAAGATATTTTCCATTTTGAAATTTTAGAATGCAATATTTTTTTTTCTTCTGGTTTTTAAAATAAAGTTCAATTAGAGAACATTCATCAAAAGCCTTTTTCACAAAATAATCAAAATCAAAATATAGTGTAGTAAAATAAATTACAAGAAAAGTGAAGTGCAGAAAAGTAAGAACATGCAAACCATGTTTATAGTGGTTCTATTAAATCAACTTATATCCACTCTCTAAAGGTCCTCCTCTTTGGATATTTTACTAACTTAGACTCCTTCAGTACACAGCTAGGCAGAGAAGCCCTTCTCGCTTATTATAGGTCAAGAATAACCTTTACAGACTCTAAAGAATGTCACTTCTCTCTCCTCCTTGACTCGGTGGAGATGGCATCCCTCCTTTAGCCTTCACAGCCCGACAGAGATATCGATCCCTTCTCTTGCCTCCCCAGCTCGACAGAGATGTCGACCCTCCTTCTACTCACAATAATGGATATACCATCCCTCATCTTGCCTCCTCAACCCGATAGAGATGTTAATCCCTAACCACCTAGGCTATTGAGTCTTTCACACCAAAGACTTTCTTTCTTAAAGCTCCTCTCCAAGAGCTCCACCATAACACTAATGGACAACCCAAGGTGTAAGCTTGTCAAAGCAACCGTGTTACCCCTCTCACACCCCTTGACTCTCTAAAAGCATTCTCTTTCTCTCAACCTTGCCTCCTCTCTCCCTTGTAAAGTGGACTCTTCAAGCTCTCTCTTAAGAAGAAAATGTCTTTAATTTCTCAAGAACCCTTGCTCTAAAGTCATAACAAGAGTTTATAAAATAGGCTCTAAAAACTCTAATTTTTAATATTAAGCCTTCTGATCATATAATATGATTCACAGAGTGTACAATATAATTAGTTTATTTTGTCTTTTTGTTAGTATTTTATAAGAAATAGTTGTGCAATATTATTAATTCAATTCCATCTCTAATTATGTTATACGATGGACAATAGTATAGTATGAACAGTTCAATCAAATCATAGATTATCCATGACAAATAATAGGGGTAGATTTAGAGGGGGGGGGGGGGGTATTTTTTATTTAATTATACAATATGCACTTGATTAATTTTTTTATGTAATTTATATTTTAACAACTCTAATTTTTTTAAACAATTGATTCTAATTTGAAGCCTGAATAAAAAATATTGAATATATTTTTAAAATCAACAATTAGTGCCCCCTCCAAAAAAAAATTATTGCCTCCGCCACTGCAAACCAAAGTTCATCTAGCGAGTTCTCAAGTGGATCATATAGTACAATAATACATTATACAATATGATCATTAATGCTAATTTATTCTAATTTGATTCCTTAATCCTTTAAATAAAATTAGGTGATGTTAATTACTATTTGTATGGTGAAATTAGTTCAATTTTCAAATTTATCTACTTTAAATACCAGAATTCTACGACTAAGTTTCTCAAATTAGATGATCATTTTGTATGATGTGATGGTTGTACAATATGATTAGTTATATCCCAATTTAATTTGACCTCGTTTAATTAAATATTTTAATTAATTTCCATTTGAATTGATCATACATTACAACTTTGATTGTATAATACGATTAGCAGAAAAATTCAAATATTCAATTTTACTCCGCCTTGTGTGTGTGTGCACGTTTGCTTAGCCAACATACTATGTCAAACATATACTAACTTAGACATTGGTGCTACACTGTCTTAAGCCTTTATTCTTTTCTTTTGCTCAATGAATGCTAAAACGGCTAGTGACACAAGAAAATAATTATGTAATATGTGAAGCAAGAAAATTTAAAATATTCATCCCATAATATTTGTGATCATCAAAATATAAAATCAAGCTCCCGAATTGCAACAATCTCCCCCTTTTGATGGCAAATATTATTGGTTTGAATTTATATTTACAAGTTTGATTTTTAATTTCTAGTTGAATTCTTTCCCTC